TATATATATATATATATATATATATATATTTATAAACCTTATTAAACAATTTTTTAATTATCTGGTTTTAACTTACAGAATCAAATGGCGTTTTCCCGTTGGGTAAGTGGTTCATTCCAGACATCCACCCAACCAATCAATCACCACTCGCTCATTCTTTAATAATTTCTTAAGATCACAAACTATGCATTAGTCTTTTTCCCCCTTCAACTTTTAGAAGTACTGTAATTTGATTTAGCATTTGTTGCCTATGGTGCGCTGTATATGTTGTAATACCTAATCTAAATCTGGGAAAAGATTCTGTCTCTGTCTGTCAGAACTTTAATAAATACATTGGAAAACATATATAAAGAATTCACAAATTAACTCACATACATTTAATATTGACTTAGCCATTCAAAAAGGGGAAGGATTTTAAAAACAAAGACACAAAAGCCCAACAAAAACAAATAATGGGTGTCTTTTATTCCTCCGTCTTTGGGTTCAAAAGGCACACAAGATCTCAGTTTTAAAACTGAGGTCTCAGCAGGACAGCGGTATGGTTATTGCAGATTAAAGTAATGTTTTTTGTAGATTTTTTTTTCCTGGCTAGTAAGACTTTGTAATATCTGCTGGTTGCAGAAGCTGAAGTTATTGTTGAAGGAAATGACCTTGGGTCCTCTGTAATCTGGATGGCTTTCCTGATCAGAGGCATGTACAGTTCAAAACAGGGACTTTGAGGAGAACCAATGATGTTATTGGCCTTATTTATGCAGGAACATTTGTTTTAAGTTTTATCATAATGAGAAATTGAAGGTGAAAGTGGATTTAGTAATTAAACAGTCTTACCGGTATTTAAAGTCCTTAGGTTCCTCAGCAGTTCCAGGTGATGTTGTCTTTTGTTTATGGACTCCACATAACGGTAAAATGAGAAACAGAGTTCAACTCTGTACATAGATATTGAAAAGCTTCAACTCACTCCACAAGCTGACACTGGATACATATGTGTTTAAACAAGTGCAATGATGAATTTGCTCTGAAACTGCAGCATTTGTGTTTGTAATGATTAGCTCCACAGACTCTTTAGACAAAGTCTGGACCAAGTTATTGAAAACCTGCTCATCCTGAGTTGGGGCACTGGTCATTTTAGCCACATAGTTAAAAAAAAGGGCCCATTTTCACAGCAGTTAAAAAAATCACTGGTGTAAATGCAAAATATTGCGGGATAGAACTCAGTACTTTGGAAAATCTGTGTTTGAAACCAACTTAGATTCTAAATCTATTATATAGCATGTACATGAAGCTTTTGTATCTTATTCATTAATTACATTTTCTTTGTTTAAATCCACAATAAAGTATGGCGCAAAATGCACTGTGATAAATACCGATTCTTCACTTGGTATTGGCAAATGGATACCGAAATCCTGCAATGACACCAATGGATTTATTTGCCTGCAAAATGTTGGTAAGTCAAATTCACTTTAAAGTAATTGCTGGTCACGTACATTATTAAAGATAAAATTAATTTTCAATCAACTGAACTCAAACATGTGGTTCAATCCTACTGTTCGTTGTTTAATTATCTCCCTTCTGCAAGTATAAAAAGCCTAAAGGACAATCATGCAATAAACATTTCATTTGTGAGTTAAAAAAAAAAAGTGATTCTAATCCCACCCTAAACAGACTCTTCAATCCATGACTCTCCTGAACCAACTTCCACCAACTATATCAAAATATTGAATGACAGCATCAAACTTGTTCCTCAACAAATGAGCTGGGATGCAGCAAAGAAGCACTGTGAAGATGATGGTGCAAGCCTGGCTAGCATACGATCTCAGTGGACGCAGGATTACATCGAGCTGCTGGCTATGAACCTCAAGAGACCTGTATGGATTGGACTCAACAAAGCACAGGTATGGTGTTAATATCTCTGAAATAAGACATTTTCTGCCTCCATAAAAGCCAAAGTCACAATGGAAAGGAACTCAAAATCTTTTCAACAGTCAAGGGAAGAAGTTATGTCACGACAAAGAAGGATTCTTACCAGAACATCAGTGCATGGCCCAACTAGAAGTGATGATGGGCTATGGTGGAGGTGTCACTATAAATAAATGACAAGATGTCAAAGTGATGCAGCACAGTGGCACAAATGGTAGAGCTGCTGCCTCTCAGTGAGAAGGTTGCCGGTTCAATTCCCGGTACAGGGGCCTTTCTGGGTGGAGTTTGCATGTTCATTCTGTGCATGCATGGGTTTTCTCCGGGTGCTCCGGTTTCCTCCCACAAACCAAAAACATGCATGTTAGACTGATTAGTAACTCTAAATTGTCCCTAGGTGTGAGTGAGAGAGTGAATGGTTGTTTGTCTTGTTTGTCTCTATGTGGCACTGTGATGGACTTGCGACCTGTCCAGGGTGTCCCCCGTTCCTCACACTGTGATTGCTGGATATGGACACAGGTGACCCCCATGACCCAAAACGGAAAAAGCAGGTAAAAGATAATGGATGGATGGATGGATGTCAAAGTGATCTAAGTTCACTGTGTCATTAACAGCTGACAACATAAACCTGAACTAGAACTAAAGGGAGGAAAAATGTCATCTGCTAGTTCATTCAACCTTTATTTAGACAGGTTAATCCCACTGAGCCTCAGGAACTCATTTACAAGAGAGACCTGATTTCTTAACAAAAGAGTAATGACAGCAACGGGTAACAATGACAACAATAGACAGTTATAAAATAGGCATGGACATACAATTTTTTATTAATTTTTTTTTTTAACAAATCAAAACAAAATAGCAGCCAAAAGGACAATCAAAAGGAAGAGTAGCAAAAAAACGTCTTGATTATAAGGCAGTTTAGGAAACTAAAAAACAGGAACATGTCTGCATTGGTTTTTTGCCAGGAGTTTAGCAGTAGAGTTTAGTTAATGCACAGCTAGTAATTACCTACATTCAGCAGATTCTGTCAAGTTTTGGGTTTTAGGATTTGTTCAAGATGTCGGGCAACAAGAATGTTTTAAAAAAAGGTTATTGTAATGCAGCTGCTGGTGGAGGTCAGTGGTGGGGCCAGTCTGCGGAGATAGGACAGTTAGTGGACTGAATATTTCTGTGAGCGAGATGGCGAACAGAAAGACAGCCACTAACCTTCTCAAGCAGGTGAGGTGGGAAAGATGACGCCACCATCACTGGGTGAAGCACAGCTGCAGGGCAGAGCTGTGGTTAGCGTGATCAGAGGTGTAATCCACAAACGAGATCCAGGATTAGAGATTGCGGTCAGTCACGGGAGGTCAGAGATCTAGATAAAAATCCATAGGGCAATCTGTGAGACGTGGTTATTGGGTCAGAAGGAGAAGTCGGTAACAAGATCAGAAAGCAAAAACAAAAACAAGAGCAGGCAGGTCAGGGTTACCAAATAGAAGGCATAAGGTTGAGATGAGATGATCAAACAAAACTGTGAACAGAACGCTGGACATCTACTTCCATGAGGGGTTTGATAATCTGGCAGAGTAGGGTGGTGAGAGGCTTTCTTAAATCTGGGCCAGTGTGGTGAATCAGTGCTGATGAGCTGCAAGTAAAGAGTGGACGTGGCAGAGTGATAGAGAGGCGGAACGTGACATGGAGAGGCAGAAACATGTCAGATTCACTGATTTAATTCTAAAGACTTCATTTTAATCTTGACATTAAAACAGTCATGGTACTTTATGCTTGAATCAGTTTTGTGGTTTCCCTTCTGCCTCTGAATCTGCAGGGTGCATCCAGTGTATGCCTTGGTTAATGTATCACTTAAAACGTTGAGCAAAATCTGTTTACATGATGAACCTCCAATGTTCTTTTATGTGTAAATAGCGTGGGCCCACATAGCAGTGGCTCTTGATAAACTGTTCACCGGAACAAAGCTAACATGCTGATGATTGGCGGGCACAATACCTGTCAAATATCATGGGCTTTTGCATAATTTTGACAATATTAGTTTGAGAATGCAAAACCAAACGATATAGGTAAATGCAAATATAGGTGTGATTCTGATACTGTCATTTTGGTGCTGATGCACAAATACACACAAGGGCAGACCGAACACAAATGAGAGCTGACTAACAATTATTTTTACACATACACATCTACAAATTAAGCTTTCGTATTCAATTACATACACTAATTACATAGAATACCAGTACTCTTTACTGTATCTGTTGTCATTTTGTATAAAACAATTACCATTTCATTGTAGCGTTGTCATTTTATACAAAAAAGGTATGAGAAAGTTGAGCACGTATAGTACCACCTACACATAACCCTGAATAAAATTAAACTGTGCTTCATTTCAAATAAAAACATTACTTAATTTGTGCTTTTTTAAGGTAGACATTTTCAAAAAGGTTGTAATCACTCACAAACAGTGCGTTAAAAACATTTTGCGTAAGTTTTTATAGTGCAGGTGTATTGAAGCAGATACTGGCTGCTGGAGATAAATATCTACCTGCCCCACCTCTAAACAATTTCTTAAAACATATATTATTAAACTAAAAGTAGATCACATGTTTTATTCAGTGATTCAAACATACTTTAAAAAGACCAAAAGCATGCATGTTAGTCTGCCTTCAGGCCCAGACCTTCCTTGCAAAAGAGGTCTGTGACCTCATTGGGATTTGCCTGTTAAATAAAGGTTAATAAATAAAAATAAATAAAAAAAAGACCTCTGAAATGGAAAAGAAATAAACGAGTTTAAACACCCAGATTGTTTCTCTGTCCTTCTAAGCCTGTAAGTGCACAGCTTCTATTTGATGCTTATAAAGCTATAATTTACCTCAACCCCTGCAGCTGAATTACAAATGTAACATTTCTGGAATCCAAAACAAAAAATGATTTACTTGAATGCAATCTGATGAATTTTTGCTTCCAGACCAATGGCTATTTCAAATTTGTCAGTGGCTGGATGTTAACATTTACTAACTGGGGAATAAATGAACCGAGGACATCTGGAACTTGTGGCTTTGTGGATGTGGATGGAAAATGGAAAACCAGTGACTGTAATCAGACCATCAGCAGCGTTTGCATGAAGTCTAAGGGTAAAACAATTTAATTTTCTCTTTAATAAACTGAACATGGTTGCCTTGCAAACAATACCACTGATTTGATTTACTGTAAATCGGCTTTACTATACAACTTCTGTTCTACTTTGCAGATTTCTTGCAACTACATTAAATAACTTCAAATACCAACTGTATTTGAAACTGTAAAATAAAGAAGAGATGCTATACCAACATTGTCACTGTTTTTTTCATTTACAGATGTACCACCAACTTACGAATCAGCTGATTTTCCAGGAGTTTGTCCAGAAGACTCAGATGAAATTTACACACGGCACAGACTTTCCTGGAAACCTTTTAGAGGTTACTGCTACTTATTTATTTCTGAGACAAAAATGTGGTCAGAAGCTTCAGTCAGTTGTGTAGAACATGGTAAGTGTTTACTGTGAAACTTTGTTTTAGGTGCATTAAATGCATGTTGCTGTCACTAAAAGCTTTGAACTTGATTTATGAAGGTGGAACACTTGCCAGCATCGAAAATCCATTCGAACAAAGTTTCATACAAAGTAACATCCAATTATTTCAAGACATCTACTCGTCTTATTGGATTGGCCTGTTTAGAACTAAATACGGTACAGACCCTTTTTTATTGTTCTTATGAAAAAAATAATTTGGCTATACATAACAAAAGAAAACCAATTTTTAGTGAGCAACTCTTGAATGAATGCTAAACAATAGATTAATAAGGTAGATGTAAAAATGTTTTTGGAAAAATGTTCACGTTTTTTTTCTCACAAAATAGCAAAATTGTAAAAGGTGTTTCTTTTTCTTTTTTTTTTCAAGGAAAGTGGATGTGGTTGGATAAAGCAGTCATGGATTTCACAAACTGGCTTGTAGATGAAACTGATTCTTTTCATTTGTCACTTGGTGGCCTCTTTGGAATAATTAGTACATCAGATGGGACATGGGCTCAAAATGGTGGATTATTTGATAGACCTTACATCTGCAAAACAGCCAAAGGTAAAATACTGATCTTAAACCCAATTAGAATTTTTTTATTTTATTTATTATTTTTTTTGTGTGTGATAATGATGAAATCAGAAACTTCTGTCAGGTGATATGACAGATGAGATTTAACATGCTGACGCTTGAGTGGAAAATCAGAGAGCCAAGAAACTCAAAGATTGATTTTTTTTTCTGTGCTGTTTGTGTTTAGTTTGTGTCATTTCTTATTTCACCCTCTGTCAGCCTCTTCAGTACTTTTCCACTGTCAGTCTGCCGCCTGCACCCGTTCTCAATCTTAATTACCCCAGGTGTTTGGCATTGTGCCTCGTTAGCGTCCTTTTAAACACCTTCTCATTTTGTTTTATTTGTTCTACGTCTGTAGATTGTGCTTTCTCAGCTGTCATGTTCCGTTCCTCCGTGTGCTTCATCATCTGATGTTCTATCATGCTCATATTTGTAAGTTTTGCTGCCAAGACCGCCTTTGATTTTGTGTTTATTTAATAAATGGATTTTCTTTATTGGGGACTGCCTAGTAAGGCAGCCGCCTGAAAAGTGTCTTGCTCTTCTATCAACTTTAATGCGGCCCGAACCGCAATGTGTGCCCCCACCAATGTTTAAATCAAAATGACTGGCTCGGCACCATGTGCGCTTCTACTTTTATTGGCGTTTCGAGTTACCATGGCGACCTAATTTGCAAGCATAGATGCCAGTTTTGTCATTCAAAACGCCTGATGGAACTTTTAACAGCCACTGAATGCCATCGTGAGGTCACATGACATAGAGGGAAGAGGTCTCTGAACAAAACACAATTGAATACTTTTTGGAGCCATTTTGGTTCAACATGGCTGCCACAGCTACATCAGAAAAGTCAAAATTAACTATAACCCAGTAATTCTTTGGGATATTGAGCTGAATCGTGGTTTGGTCGTAGCTGAGAACGATCCCCATCATATATTGAATCCAAATCAAACATTCAAGATGGCCACCATAGCTTACAAGAAACTCATAGTACCGTAAAAACTTTTTTTTTTAATGGACGCCACGTGGCAGTCCCCGTCAAAGTTTCTCCAGCAACTTTCTAGTTTTACTTGCGAGTTCCTTGAGTCTGTCTGCACCCTGGGTTCAAAACCCTCTAGCAGAATATTGTATATGCATTCATGTAAAAAAAAAAAAAAAAAGTGCTGTTTTTTGAAATGATACCTCTTTAATG